CTGCAGTAGTAGGGGGTGTTTTCCTCTCTGTAAGAGGCGGACGGCTCTGCCCAATTATCCCCCTTCTCCACTGCATGGGAACTTCTCGCCTCTTGTAGGCGGTTATGTTTTTCTTCTGAGTCAGAAGAACTATGGTCAGAAGAGCTGGAATCGGACTCGTCCCCTGACGAGTCCGAAGAGGACGACTCCTCCCCTCTCCTAGAGGGGCCCGCCTCCTCTCCCTTAGAAGGAGCAGAAGGTAAATTGGACATGTCCACGGTTAGATGAGAAGGGAACACCTTGGTCCCTCTCTCAGAACTGTCAGCTTGACAGTCGCCTCGTTCCACATCTGGCGCCTGGTCAGATGTTTCGCTAAGGAGTACCCTTTGGGAGGAGCCGTCTGAGTTTGATATTCTAGCAGTCTTTTTTGTTCTGGCCATCACGTTCTGCATAGACACAGATTCAGTCGGACTTTGTATAAAGGGCAAAGATGGGTCCAGAAAAGGGCAGGCGGCACTCCTAGTCCTAGATTCAGCCGTCCCCGGTGACCGGCTGATCACTAACTTAGGGCGTGTCGTGTGCTTCCATGGTGCCATTTCAAAAAATAAAAAGAAAATTAAGAGTAAGAGAACTGAGTTACCTGAACGGATGACAGTTGATGAAGTCCTGAAAGTTCGGGTCAGTCGGCTTGTCAGAACAGGCGGTAGGCAGAAAAAGTCCGAAAATGTCAGAGCAAGTTCAGGGGTCCGAATGTTCTCGCAAAAATTCTCAAATGTGAAAATGACCGAAGTCAGCACTTCCTTTTATAGGCAAAATGAGAAGGCGAAGGGTCGCTTCCGAATTCAAATTTGGGCGGGAGAATCTCCCGGCCGTCTGCAAGGTGACACCTGTAACGGGCCGTCGCCTGTCACCGTGCGACGCCTGTCACAGGCGACACGTGACCAGTCGCGTGCCACCTGTGAGGGGCAAATGATTAGGGGATTTTTATCCACCAAGCGCCGTTTGACAAGTGGACCAACCAGGTTCCGCCACGCGTCCTCCACGGACCACTTAAGACACGCCACGTGTCCACCCATGCCAAATGGGACAACCGGCCATCAAGGCCCATTTCAGTCTAGAAGCCCGTTCGGCCCTAGGTTTACCTTAAACCTAGAGAGTTGCACGCTTCCCAAGGCTATAAATACTCGATTAATCCTCATTAATCAAGGGACCGAATAATTGACAGAACACACTAATAACCGGCTGATCTCGCTAGCAAAGCAGATTACCTACATTAAATACTCTCACCTAGAGAGACCTTATTACTTTAATTTCTGTATTAATTACTCCTTAATCAGGTACTAACTTGACCGTTGGAGGCGGAGCTCTCAGGAGTCTCCGTTATTTTGCAGGTACAGGCGTCCGGTTCCAGTCTCGGAATTGTAACTCTCCCGCAGGACATCAGAAAACCCCGAAACAGAAATGACATAAACCCTAGAATTTTCTTAAAAAAAAATATTTTTTAATCCAAAATACTAGTGATAAATTGATAATACCGGTGATTGTTAAAATCCTTGAAAAAATTAAAAATATCCATGGAAAAGAAAAGGTTTTGATTTTTTTTTTTTTTAAACTTAACTTCAAAATAACTCTTCTAGTAGTAGTCTAATAGACAATTAAGCACGGTTTAACTACAAATTACAAAATTCCCAATGTTGAAACAAAAAAAAAAAAAAAAAAAAAAAAAAAAAAAAAAAAAACTTTCTCATTCGTGACCATCCTTATTTAAATATATTTCCAAACGTAACATTAATGAGCTAATTCCGTTAAAGATCATTCAATTATGTAATTAAGGTTAGATTTGGCTAACAAAATATAGTACATTTAGAATTAGAGCTACCTAAGTAGTAAGTACCTAACCATAACTTTATTACAGTAATCTGTAAAAGTATTTTCACTATTTACAACCTACCCAACATTAAAGTTTAGCATCTTCATATCCCCTCATTAAACTCTCCATCTTCCTCACAAAGACACGATTAAACCCTCCCATCCCAACAAGCACATTATCTGATGAATTATGCTTTGTAAACCGATAAACAACAATTAAACTCTAAATTATTGCGTATTTCGAATTTTCTACGTGATGTGGAGTTGATGTTTTTCAGATTTTGGGCAAAAATCGAAGTTGTTACAGGATTGTGTGATTTGAAGTCGGGGCTTTTTAGAGCAAAGTTCGGTAAAACTACAGTCAGGTATGTAACCCATAATTTCACCCTTCCATTGATAAAATTTCGCAAATTGGATTAGATAGATTTTTAATTGAGATAAATTTTAATTTGCTAATATTAGTCGTTGCTATTATATGTTGTTTGGCTTGAATACAAGAGAATCTTTGGAATATTATAAAAAAAAAAAAAAAAAAAAAACTCGGTTCTTTCCAACAGTTGGATATAAAATGCATACGTATCTATTTAGAAAAACAAACCTCTTATTTTTTTAGTTTTTATTTTTACGAGTGTTCCGATTGTGTTCTTGATTCTATTTTCGCAACTCAAGGTATCATATTCTCTTAACAAACCTTTTGAATTATTTCTCTTGTTGTTTTTTGTGGTTCGAACTTATAGAAATTGCAATTCGTTGTAGCGCTAATTGCATATCCTTGATGGGGTAAAGTAACGGTAGATGTAATTAATCCATACAATGTGGTGTCTTTTCTTGACGCGAAGAGATCGAGAGCGAGAGAGCCATAAAACAAGTCTACAAATCAAACAAACAAACCGAAGAATGAAGAAATACGGGAAAACACACTACGTCGTATGGATTAATTACATCTCTATCTTGTTCTTTCTCTTCAAGTATATGCATCTGCCATACACCTATATCATAATCTTTAATTAATTTGTTATTAAAAAATGGTATCAATCTGAATCTTTTTATTAATTTTATGTGTATCAACAATATATTGCTTAAACTTTTATTTATTATTCCATTATTTTCTTGTATTTTTGGATTGCTTAGTTTACCATTTTTTCACTGATTGTGTGTTTGAGGCATACGCAGAATTAGTTGCTAATTATATTAGATATATACATTGGTGGACTTGTAACGAATAGCATCAATATGAATTGGGGTTATATCGATCAATGATGACTAAATTCCTATTTTATGTAAATTTGTGTTTTCGATTGATCTGATGTCTAAAATTCTCACTACATGCTTTAGTAAGTTTTATTGACTTTATAATCGGTAGCATTATCTCCATTAATAATTCGTTATTGTTGATTGTTGCTATTTATGTTACCTTTTATTTGTTCTCTTTCTATTAAAAGATTCAAATACTTATAGGTACACCCAATGGTGTTGTTAACATACATCGGCTAAGGATAACTTTTTACCTTTTTAGTTTTTTTAGCTTCTAGGGTTATTTAGGAGTAATTTTCTTACATGATAAATATGTGGAAAGAGACAATTTTATCAATAAAAAATTGGAGTAATTTTCTTACATGATAAATATGTGGAAAAAGACAATTTTATCAATAAAAAATAGTTCAGAGTACCTTTTACTATACATTGATCAAGTAACTTTTGATTATTCTAGTACTTAGGATTTACTTTTATTTGCTCTCAAATTTTAGCAAGAGTGCAGTATTGTGGAATTATTATAAACTGCATAGATATTAATTAATTTATTATATACACTGCCATACTAATACTTATGAACACTAATATAGTTGATTTTATTATTGTTCATGCTAATATTATTGTATCAATTGTTCATTATTGATCATACCAACTATGTGGGAACATATATTATATACAGATCTATTACTTAAAAAATAAACATAATGATGATATGGCAACTATTAGGAAATCAGTAGGTAATACTATTATTTACCTCTGTTCCACTACATTACTTGCATCATATCGAGTTATAAGGAAATATCATGATTTAGTATATTATTTGAAACCCTATTGCTATCAGGTCAGTGAAAGATATAACTTCAATAATTTTTTTATGGGAAACATGATGTTGATACTTAAAGTGAGAGTACTTTGTCGCGATAAATATAATTGATTGATTAATTACAAGTGTAATTAGTAAAGGTGGCAAGATTGTCCTTAATGCAATAGATTAAATAAGATGTGTACTATCTTATTTAAATTTATAAAAAGCAAGGTGATATTAATTGTTTACTCTGTATCATGTATTTAATGAATACATAATTGGCAACTCGGTGTGCAATTGAGTTTTGTAATTTTTTTTTATATTTTTTATTTGCAATTTTTTTCTTATAAAATTTAATATTCCATACAAATTTATATGGATAATGTTAATAATATATTAATGCGTATAGAAACTTAATATATTATTGATATTATCCATATAAATTGTAAGAGGTTAAATATCAAATAATAACATCCAGTTGGTAATGTGTGACAAAGATAATACATTTTTAAGTAAGAATTACTATACTATTTGGGTCCGAGCAATATATCGGGGCATTATATAGAGTTAACCGGTCGATTAATATATACTTATTTTATGTACAAACTCTTAAATAGACCTGATTTACATTAATTTATTGTGGACCACTACTGACTATGATCGTTTTATTATTACCTTAGATTAAAGGTTAAAAAAAAAAAATTATTGTTTTGTTATGAAGGTCCTAAGAGGTAAATTTTTTTTAGTGAAGTTTTTAATTAATATACTAGTCAATATGAATAATAAAGGTCACTATGTTCAACATAAGGCCGTGATTCAAATTCACAATAATATTAAACGTCGCACAAGTTTTATAAAGGTCATTATGTCAAAATTAAGGTTACTATGTTAAAATTAGGGTCACTATGTTCAAAGTACAGTCAATTGCGCAGTTATGGATCTTAGGTCCACATAAGTTTTTTCCAAATTTATGATTGAATCTTTATCTCCCGTGATTAAATTTGTTATTTATGTTGTAATTCACTCCATAATGGTAAATTAATATTAGAATTCTTAATTTGGGTGATTAGGTTTGTAAATCACTTTAAGGGAATTAGAGTTCTTAATATAGGTGATTAGGGTCCCTAAATAACTTTAGGGGTCTAGGGTTTCAATTTAGAGGATTAGGTAATTAAAATTGTTTTTAAGGAATTAGGGTTTATAAATTTGGGAGTTAGGGGATCGAAGTATGTATTATCAATTTGGAATATTAGGGTTTATATATTATATAGTGATTTTGGTTTAGAAATTTGTAATTTATGGTGAATAAGTCATAAGAAGTATAAATTTGAAAATTAGGGTAGTTAATCATTCAAATTAGTGTGTTAGGGATATAATTCTTTTTTTTTTTTTTTTTTTTTTTTTTTTTTTTTTTTGATGCAGTAACTGAAAAGGACATCAAAGTAGTGGGGGCTCACAAACGGAATAATTTGCCGGAATCCATTTATAGTGCCACTCAAAAAATTTTAAGGGATATTTTTTTTAAAAAAAATAATTTAAGGGCCGTTGTTTCCAAATTGAAAGGGTATTTAGTACTTGCTCCGTTTTTATTTACTTACAACACAACCTTGTGGCATGTATTTTGAGGTTGTGATTATATAATATAAACGGACATGTTATTCAAATAATTTGGCAACCCTGTCGAACTCGTGATCGTACTATTGAAGTATTTGAAACCACGGCTGTCATCATCTCCATTGAGGTAGTAGCCAAGCTCGAACTCTCCATATGGTGTTGTAGTTTTCGCCTACCTCTAGCTGCAGTCTCGGGTCCAATATACTACCTATGTCACCTCTTTCAAAGAGTGGTGTTACCCATTAAATTAAATGGGTGTGTATTTTTTCTGATTGCTGATTTCCCTGTCATGAGCTCTAGCAGAACAACACCAAAGCTGTAAACGTCGCTCCTTTCATTCACCTGTCCGGTTAAATGGTACCTGTATTCATTATAATCATAAACATAACCTTAGCTTAATTACATAATATATCAGATCAAGTGATCAAGTAATTAGATAGACTGGAGATGAAGATAATGCACTTACTGAGGAGCAAGATAAGCTGTAGTTCCAATGACTCGAGTCTTTAATTTCGAGACATTTTCAGCTGGGAATATTTTTGAGAAGCCAAAATCAGCTACTTTTGCCTGGTGATAATGTTGATTTAGTAGTATATTAGCCGGCTTCACATCTCTATGGACTATTGGCGGGCTGCAACCGGTATGCAAATAATCCAGTCCTGTAGATACAGATGATGAACTCGTTTATTGCTGTAACAGCTAATCTTACTGACAAACAATTATACATGAAACATTTCCTCGATCTGTTCAAAAACAATAGCTGTCTCTTTTTACAAGTAGTAGTAGAATATAATTGAAATTCCTACTATGTCACGCTACTTAGCCTGATGTGAGTGATAGCTTGAGATTTAGATCGATGTATAAATCTTGAAGTATCATGGAAAATAATCTTTTTATGACTACCTGGCCTTATTAGAAAGTTAGCACTAATGCAAAGTATTGTTAAGACTTTTATTTATAACTATACGAGTATGTGTAAATAAATCGATGTATTTGTCAAAAAAAAAAAAAAAAAAAAAAAAAAAAAAAAAAAAAAATCTATGTATGAGTATTATATTTCTTGTACACCTTGAGCTGTATCGAAGGCTATTGCAAGTCTCCTTTTCCAGCTTATGAATACACCTGAATGTTCTGATGAACACGAGCAAACGATATTAAGTATTGTTGCATTGGACAATAACAAGTAGTTTGATGAAATATGATTATGATGCGGGCCATACTTAACAGTTAACATACACTTAATTAATTAATTGTATAAAATTAACAACCTGAAAGATCTTTCAAGTCCCCTCCAGATAAGTACTCGTAAACAAGTGCCAAGTTGCTGGTTCCTTCTTCGCAGAATCCGATCAGAGTAACCAAGTTTTTATGATGTATCCTCCCTAGCACATTAACCTGAACCTGTGCCGCGAGCATTTAAATTGCAGATTTGCCTTTTAATGACAGTATAACACCATATGTATGTATATATTCAGGAAAGTTATTTATAGTGTTGGCAAAAAGTTAATAACCTCATTGCTAAATTGCTTAGGGGCATCATTTTCTGAGAGCACTTTGACCGCAACTTCCCTATGGTTGTCACTCAAGCGACCATAATAAACAATTCCATAGCCACCTTCTCCTAGCATTCTATTGAAATCATTTGTCATATCCTTGACCTGAGAATAGGTAAATCGCGCCAATTGCAGCCTACTAGCATCTTCAATTTCAGTCTCATCTTCAGTAGCTTCTGTTGCATTGTTAGTCGCACCTGTAACTAGTGTCAATATATTCAATATCTTTGAGGAGTGCACTTGTCAGCTTATTTTAATTTGTTCTGGAACTTTGAATTGACGGATTTAGGCTCCATTTGTTTTAAAGGAAAACAATTGTCATGGAAAATCACTTTTCAAGGAAAACAACTTTCAATGGAAACATGATTTTAAAAAAGGTTTTCCTTTGTTTGTTTGATTAGAGGAAAACTTAAGGAGAAAAAGAAAGGAAGGTGGGAGGAGAGTATTAAAGAGAAGTAATGAGTGGAGAAAAATGTGGCATACCTTCTTTTTCTAAGGAAAACTGTTTTCCTTTTCTAAAGTGCAATTTTCCACCTTTAGAAAAGTTGTTTTCCATCTCTTATCAAAACAACAAAGGAAAATGGAAAGATGTAGGGGTGAAACAAATTTGGGTTAAAACCGAACCAAACCGAAAACCGAACCGAATAAGAAATATGGTTCGGTTTTTTTTCGAAAGTGGTTCGGTTTGGTTTTGAAAAAAAAAATATTTCGGTTTTCGGTTTGGTTTCGGTTTTAGAAATTGAAAAACCGAAAAACCGAACAAAACCGAACAGAACCGAAATTTCAGGCCCAAAAGCCCCCTAGCCCAACACTTTTACCCTAAGTATATAAAGGAAAAAAAAAAACCCTAATCCCTCACTTCCTCATCTGACTCTCAGTCTCTCACCTCTCCTTTCCTCTTCTTCTCCTGATCTCACCTCTCCGCCCTTTCTCTCCTCTCTTCTCTTCTCAGAATCTTAGTTCTTCCTCTCCCTCCTTTCCTCTTCTCAACTCCGTCCTTTCTTTCTCCTCTTTGATCTCTTCTCCATCACTCTGTTCTCCTCTTTTCCCCACCAGCCCACAGCGAATAAGTTTATTTACAACGTTATTAAGCCATCAACTGAGTAGCTAAGGTTTTTCATGTCAAATTCATCCATGAAAACACTAGATCTAGTGTTTTCATGGTCGAACTTGACCTTTAAAACCCAAATTCGAGGTTTTTCGGTGGAATGTGAGGTATGTCCTCTTTTTCTTAATTTTAATTTGATTTGAATTTTTTTTCCTACTTTATTTTTATGGTGGCGTAGCCGTGTAGATTGAATTGCGGTGGTGATAGGTAGTTGTGGGTCGATCTAGGGTTAGTGTTTGGGTGGAAAGGATGAAGGGTGGTGAAATAAGGTGGGTTGTGGGTTGTGGTGGGTGCGGATCTGGGTTAGGGGTGGTGATAAGGTGGTTTTTGGTGGTTGTTGTGGGTGGTAGTGGTGATAGTTTCTATGGGTGGTTAGTGGTGGTTAGTGGGCATTGTTGTGGGTGGTTAGTGGTGGTAGTTTCGGTGTTTTTTGGTAGGTTAGGGTGGGTGGTAGGTGGGTTTTAGGTGGGATGTTTGTATGGTTTGGTTTGGTTCAATTTTAATTGGTGTGGTTTGGTTCGGTTTTTTTGCAAAATGTGATGTTTAGGATGCTTGAGAGGAAAATTCGGTGCGGTTTGGTTTTTTTTAGGAAAACCGAAATTTAGGTGGTTTGGTTTGGTTCGGTTTCAAAGCTAAAGTGGTGCGGTGTGGTTTGCAAAATCAAGAAACCGAAATTTGGTGGTTTGGTTTCGGTTTGGGCAAAAAACCAAACCGAAAACCGAACTTTCACCCCTAGAAAGATGAAGGAAAATCATTTTCCAGGAAATTATTTTCCACCAAAACAAACGGAGCCAGTAAAAGTGTTGTAGCTTACCTGATGGCCTACACCGCCACCTCCAAAAACAAAAGGCACCTACGATTGAGAAGAATACGATGACAGGTAACAGCACCTGAAGCAGGACTTTGCTCTGGCACAGAAATTCAGTAAAAAATAAATTAGGACAAAAATTCAGAAGATATGCAAGTCCTCGTCAGGTTGCAAATTATTAGACTTTCAATGAGTATTTGACCGTCTTGAATTTATCACCTGATAGGGGATTCGGCTTAGGGGATGAAGGTAGTCCGATGGGAGAAGGGGATCCAATTAAATCGAATCGAGATTACAACTAGGAAAAAATACTATAGTGAAGGCCCATTGACGCATCTGACTATAAGTGTCACAGGCATTTCTCACAAAGGTTACTCCTGATATAAGGACTGCATTGTGCAAAGCCGCGTAGTTTCTGAGACGCGGATAGATTCGTTTCATTTATGGCAAAGCCAATAGGGTTTTTGTTATAAGCAGCTTTAAGAAAGAGATTAGTCATGGTGCTTGTAAAGAGCTCACGGTGTGGTTCAAAAATGGGATCGCTTACCAGACCGGTATCATTGTAATATATTTTGGGTGGAATCTCTTCATCGAGGGAGAAGATGGTGTGGTTGGCATAGCGCAAGGTGCAAAACTCATACCAAACAATCCCTTCTTTCTTGAATTTACACTTATCTACAATTACCTGTACTGTAGCCTTGATGCACTGATGGCACGTAACGACATCAACCTTGATGCACTGATGGCACGTAACGACATCAACATCTCCTCTGCAGAAATACAGAGCATAAACCTGATTAATATCTGTACCATTAGTGAAGTTAGAGTAGGTTCGTAAGGCAGCATTAGCAATGAGTCTTGTGAAAAGGGTGTTATTTCGGGTGAAAACAATCGGACCTTCGGCGAGGCCCATTCCTGTGGGCTGAAGACTGATCTTGGTCCAAGTGATGACTGGGCCGAGGGTTTCCTGCACAGCAAACACACGTAAACTGGCCTCGGGGGTTGTGCCGAGGAAGGCCCCTCCGATGTCGAAGTCAATACAGTGTTTTAGAGAGAGAAAGCAATGCAAGAGTATTAGTTGCTTGAGGCTTTTACTGAATGAATGTAAAGAGAGAAGATTGAAGACTTTTATACCTTTGCTCAATGGATAAATGGGCCTTAAGTAAAGTGGGCTTGCCACCTTGACTGGGCCTTGAATGACTTGGCAAATATATGGAGAGTTGAACCTTGCTTTGGGCTTTGCAATTAAAACATTTGTGGACCGGCCCAATTGTAGTAAATTGGACCCAAACAACTTGCCCCCTGACCCGATTTGGAAGCATGATGGATCGGTTTTGACTTGCAAAATGGAGGGAAGTATGTGGTTTTAATTAGCATTTAAATTTGGAGGTTATGGAGGCAATAACGGTTATTTCTTGAAGTAATAAGTAAGTTGGATGGTTTAGTGGACAGTTAATAAGGGGAGAATATGAACAGCTGAACATTGAAGTGGGATTAGTGGGGATTTTAGTGGCACGGACTTCCGAAATTCCCGTTTCTGGAAGGTATTTAAGCCACTCGTCCCACATTTCCTTTCCCTAATTCACACTTACTTCTCGCTAATCTTTGCTACTAACCCGATTTTCTTTTTCCGCTTATACTCAGCAATCCGAAGCTTTAAACTAGAATTTGTTGTTCCGAATTCACAGATCGACAAATTTCGCATCTAACAAATGAAATTTTCTTCGAAGTTTCTTCGGTTTTCTTTGCTTTTCACGTACCCCTTTTTTCTGTTTTCTCGCACTTCCACTGTTCAACAATGGCCAGTGACCGGAGACGGAGGCCTATGGAGGCTGAACCAATTGTTGAGGAAGAGGAGGAGGAGATGTCCCAATTGATTCTGAGGCGGAATCGCCCTTTAGAAATGATGTCACTTCTTAGCGGCCAGAACCCTAACGACAGGGCTGGAGCTGCTGCTATCCCGAGAGGGGTCGCAATCAGGGCTGTGCCGATCTCCAGCATGCCCCCAGGGTCTCGGAGGGTGCTAGCACCTCTGGTCGAGGCGCGACCTCGACATCTAGGCCATTGACTCCCGAGGAAAGGGAGTGGACTGATATGGACGAAAATGTGGGCATCATGAAGGCTGAACCTTATTCATGGTGGGTCGAAAATAACACCACCTACCGCTTCGCCGAACAAATAGAAATCTTCTACGGCATAATGGAGGAGAATGGGTACTGGTGCCGAATCCCTACTGCCGAGGATAGAATCTACCGCCCCCCTGGATATACTGGGGTTTACACTCGGCAGCTGTAGTACAAGCACTTCTAGAAAACAGGCCATTTTCGACTGAAAAATTCCGTCTGAATCACCCTGAATTCCGTCTAAAAACCCATTTCCGACAGAATTTTCGTCGAAACCCGTTGTCGGAAGCCCTTTTGTAGGAAAAACGATCTTTTCCGACAGATATTCTGTCGGAAAACTGCTTCTAACGGAAATTCCGTCGGAATTTTTTGTCGGAACTGGAATTCCGGCATCGGAAAAGTCCGTCGGAAATTTCCGACGGAATACAAATCTGCCCTGCACCACCACCTGCACGGTCTGTCACCACCTTCAGCCAACTAAAAACCCATTGTCAACCCCACCCTCACCCCACCTAACCCTAACGCACCCAAACTAAACCCTAACGCACCACCACCACCCCAACAACCCTAACAACACCACCTCCAACCAAACCGAACCACCCTACCACCCTCCTTAACCGAACGTAACCCACCTCCTAAGTCCTAACCCTAATCAAACCAAACCCACCCCACCTAACCCTAACCAAACCGAACCTACCCCAACTAACCTTAATGCACCCAAACTAAACCCAGATCTATCTAAAACCACCCAACTAAACCTAAATCTAAAACCATCAAAACTAAACCTAAATCTAAAACCACCCAAACTAAACCCAAATTAAGCAACTACCCCACCACTCACCAGTCCACCGCCATTACCCGAACACAAACCACCCACCACCACCGCAGTTTCCCTAAACCACCTTGAATTTCAAAAACCAAAACCCCGAAGCCACTGCAAATTTCAAAAACCCATCATAAAATTAAAAAAAAAAAATTCAAAAACCAAAATTAAATAAGAAACAAAGAACATACCTTGAATTTCACCATGAGAACTTCGAAATTGGCTTGAGTTTGGGTTTTAAAGATCAAATTCGACCATGAAAACTTTAGAGTTTTCATGGTCGAATTTGACATAAAAACCCTTACATTGTTCAAAAAATTAAAACCCTTCGAGTTTTCATGCGTGATTTTGTGAGAATGAAAGAAAGGAGAAAGGAGAAAGAAGAAGAGAAACGAAATAGAGGAGAACGAGAGAACATAAAGGGGGAAAGGAAAAAGACGAACAAAGAAAGGGGGAAAAGAAGAGGAACAGAGAAAGGGGGGAAGGAAAAAGACGAACAAAGAAAGGGAGAAAAGAAGAGGAATAGAGAAGAAGCAGAAGAACGAGGAAAGAAGAGAAAAGAGAAAGAGAAGAGGATGAAAGAGAAAGAGAAGAGGAAAGAAAAGAGGAAAGAGAAAAAGAGGCTCTGGTAAAAAAAAGAGGAAAGAGAAAAAGAGGCGGAGGAAAGAGAAAGAGAAGAGGAAATAGAAAAAGAAGAGGAGGAAAGAGAAAATGAGGCGGAAAGGGTTTTTTTTTATTTTTTAATTAAATATTCCGATGGATTTATTTTCCGTAGGAAATTTAGCTTTTCGACGGAATATTCTGTCGTAAATTACAAATATTCCGACGGAATCCGATGGATTTTTTTAAATTCGTCGGAAATATCCGACGGAATTACCTGCCCGTCGGAACCGCTCCGTCGGAAATAGCCTATTTTCTAGTAGTGAGGCTTCGGTTTCCTGCCCATTCCTTTATAATCAAAGTGCTGAATGGGTATAACATCTCGCTATCTAAGCTGACCCCCGTCAGTATCCGAAGAATAGTGACCTATCTTTGGGTCTGCCTATTTTACGGGCTTGAGTCGAGTGTGCACTACTTCCGCTGCATGCATAAGCTGATGCCAAATAAGCAGTCCAATAAATGGCACGGCCCTGGTTGGTGGCAAATTGAAGATGAGAGGAGGTTCCTTTCTACTTATCCGAATGATACTTCGGATAAAGACTGGATAGGCCAATAGATCTGGGTTCGGGCGCCGTTAGACGAGGATCATCCAAATTTCTTCGACAGCCCCCGATACTTGAGGAAGCCCGATCCTAAGATGTTCAGCATCGGGCTTGATGAGTTCTCTGACGCCGATCTGAAACAGATGGAGTTCTTTGGCAGGAGCCACATGCCTAGGGCCACAGGCCGAATGGCAAATGTGCCTACCATTTGGCTGCCTTGCTGCCACTATATCATCCAGGAGAAGATACTTGATGTTGTCGACCTTAGCCGAAAGTACCAAGGCGGTAAGGGACTGGGCTGGGGCCGAAAACTTTATTATTTTTTATAATTTTCTGCTTTCTGACGCTTATTTTTCTCGGCCAAGCTAACCATTGTTCTTTGTTTTTCCAAAGCTGTACGAAGAGAACTCGGGCGTTGATTACGAAGTGCTCGGGATCAGTCAGGAGAGGAACCCGATCACCAACACCCCCAAAATCACTAATTCCAAGGATCGGGCCCTTTCCTGCACCGGAAGAGGCTTCAGGTGGTCAGCGCTGTTGAGTATCAGGCGTAGAGACCTTGGTTTGAGAAGGTCGACCCCTTCTTTTTCCCTTCTGCTGAAGAACAAGCAGCTGTAACTATCGCCGCTGAGGTCTTTAGAAACGGAGCTGGGCCTTCAACTTCTGCTGCTGAGCCAAGAGTAGAAGAAGCCGAAGAAGAAGAAGATTCTGAAGACGCTCGTCTACTGAAGACTTCGGTGAGCCTTTGGACTTGTCTGAATTTGCTTCTTCCTTCTTTTTTTGTTTTTTTTTTTTTTGAACTTACGTGACTCTTTGCTCCCTTGTTCTTTCTTATGCAGTCCGACGAAGAAGAAGAGAACAAAGGAGAGCCAGCCGAGGCTAGGGGTGCTCAAAAAAACCCGACCCGGTTGTCCCGTCCTGATTTCCCGATGACCCGCAAAAAACCCGATGG